ATGCTAAATTTTCATTTGCCTGAGGATAAAAAGATTTATTAGGATGGTCTTTCCAGGAAGTTAAAGACGACCCAATATATTTTAGAATGTCTACAGGCTATAATGGGATTAAGACTTATTCTCTTCTCCATAGACTTTAGTTTAAAAATAGAAAGTACATTATTTAATGAAGGAATCAATCTGCTGTGCATGTTTGCAGACCTTTTGTTGCAGAAAGATTGTGAGTAATAAAACAAAAGCAACCTACAGACAAAAAAAAAAAAAGAAACATCTATTCACCAGCAAATGTTGAATTATTAAGTTCCTGTTTGCTGGTGAATCTACATACCTGTGATGCACTGAAATCCCAAAAGTGATTAAATGGCATGGAGATTTTACCTACTGGATTAGCGGATTGTGCTTAGGTTTTAAAGACATAATAAGTAAGTGTTTTTATAGTTTCTCAACAATGGAGCTCCAGTGGGACACTAGAATCATATTCAATAAATTTGGACATGCGTTTCGATGAGGCTCGATTGTCAGATTAAAAAGTGTCTTTTGAGCAACGATTGAGCAACACATTAAACATCATTCAGGCTATAATTCTGTTATTAAAAATGCTTTTTTAATTGGTCTTACATGATATTCTAATTTTAAATGTTTTTAATAACTCTAAGCAAAAGATCGTCATGACAGACAAAAAGGCTTCCAAACATTTATCTGTGCGTAGTTCATCAACACTATGCTTTAGTGATAACATTTCTGAAATAAAGTGACTTTTCAATAATATTGAATGGGTCTGTTTTTATTAACTGCAGCTGTCCAAAAGTACTGCTCAATTTATTTAAAAATATATGATTTTTTTAATATGTAATATTTAAAACTGAGCTTCGAAGATAAGATGGGGTGTTCAACAGAATATTCATTTATTTCACATTCATGAGCCTTATGTTTTTTTGTTTTTTTTTTTGGCAACATTTTTTTCTCAGTTGTGGACACACTTTGCACCATTTCACTAAACCTTTTGTATGAAGCTGAAATAAAAAGTGCATAAAGTTAAAAAGTGTTAGCAGTGGATCATTAAAACATATGAAACCTGCAGCAAAAAGCTGTCACTCGTACATCTTCTTGCGACTGCTGACAGTAGGAAATGTTTTCCCAGCACACAGTCAAGTAGCAAAAATAATTACATTTGTTTTAAATAATGACCCTCATATGCCTCTCCAGCTTTGAACGACTCTTTATGGACGATATGTGCATAACTGGTGCATTAATCAGTCTGAACTCCATGAACTCACGTCGCCTGGAACCTCCAGGAAATTCTAGGAAGCGGCAAATGTTCTCTCTTCTGAGTTCATTTTTAAGTGTTCATGGTTTCCTTGTCTGTTGTAAAATAATACCAAACAACATGTCAGTGGGAGCTTTCAGACTCAAGCTCTGCAAATGTAGTTGTTTTGCAGACTAAAAAACAAGAACAAAAAAAATCCCCTTGATTTTGTTTTTCTACTGGTGTTTCTACAAGTCATTTTTCACTTGACTTTGTGCTGCTGTGTTTATAAGCCCACTTTCTAGAATGAGGTGTGGAACAAGAGAAAATAACCAAGGAAAAATCAGCGGCACCTGAACATGTAATTCATACGCTGTTTCTGCTTTCAGATAAAAATAAGAGCAAGCGGACGAGGATATGATTGCCGTGATGCCTTCCGACAGATTTCTGTGGTTCAGCATGTTAATGATGAGCATGATAAATGTTGCACCTTTTCATCTGGTTGATTGTAATTTGAATCATTAGTTAGCGTAAGAACGGCTCCTGTGTTTGCTGAATGTCTGCCAAGTTTTAATGATTCGCCCAACAGGAAGTAGAGAAGAGTGAGGTGGAGGAAATCATTCATTCATTTTCTGGTCTGTCTGCAGCATCGTCTGTCGTCCCCCCCCCCTTTGGTTTATTTAGTTTGTGTTAGATTATCAAACAATCTGTTTAAATAACAAATCATTTTATTTTAAAATCAGACTTCTGCTTCTGTCAGCATGTCAGGTAAAATGCACCATTTTTAACCAAAATATTTCCCAAACTAGATATATAATTTGAATTCTGCTCCCCTGATTTTTATTTTATTTTATTTTATTGTATTTATGATTAACCATGTGGCGCTTAAATAACTATGGTAAAGCACAAACTGTGTGTTGTGTGTGTGTTGCTAATTGTTCAATACAAGCAGCCTAAAACTGCTTGTATTGAAGAACCGTGCGTGTATCACACACACGGTTCTTCTGTGTGTGTGACAGAAGAACCGTGGCGTGATCGGAGAGGTGGGGAGAGATAAGCACAGTTTGCAGATTTCACCCAAAACCTAATTAATCAAAAGCACATAGACAGAGCAGCTCTTTGTGCCTGCTGGCTCTAAAATTAGCAGACAGTCTGCTGAACGACAAACAGGATGCTGGGAGGAAGACGTGCTGCCAAAAGGTGTAGCTGAGACACAAAACGTGGAAAACACCACGTTGGGCACGACAGTGCTATTAATAGCCATGAATAATTTTTTACCTTTATCATAATTATACCAGAAGCCACATATTTATTCACGACATGAAGAAATTATGTATTTTTTTTTTTTTTTCGATCCTGAGTGACAATATGAAACTAAACTTGTGTCGTTTTAGGTCATTTAGAATTGGCAAAAATTATTTCTATTAGCTAAATCCTAGAAAAAAAACATATTTTTGTATAAAAACAATAAAAATATGTTTCAAAACGTTGGAAAAATTGTTTTTACTTAAATGATATTAAAATAGCATGTCAAGCATCTTTTATATGTTTTCTTAATTATCAAGACAAAGTTTGACTTATGTTAAAGCGTTCAAACCCGTCTGTAGCTGCTGACCATCTTTTTACGTTTCACAGGTATTTTTTGACATTTTTCACGCCTAAAATTTTATTATCTCTCTGTTAAAAATACATTTTTGTAATCTGTTCTTGACTTTCTTGAGATTATGTGTTGTTTTTGAGATCTGTTAGCCAGTTTAACTCAACTGGATCTTCAGTTTCTGTTTATGTCATGTCTTGAATCTACAGGTCAGGTGTTGTTTGTAAAATTTAACAAAAACACGAGCAGGTTGCTTTAGCTGTTGTAATTTTACATGATGTTCTGATGACTGTAAGCAATAAAATCTCACAAAAGCAACAGGTGAAAATAGACTCAGTCCTACTACAGACAGCCTTTGCCTCAAAGTTTTCTACAGCTTTGAAAAGCTGAACACTAGAGACCCTTTGAGATTTAATGCTATCAGAATACGGTGATAACGTGCAACCCTCTTCCAAAGGATTCAACGCTCTGTATGCACACATAAACCTTCGGAGTAATGCTTTTTTAGCCACTTTCCCAGCTGTTCTTTTTCAAGGTTTGAATAACTTTTAGAAAATGACTTGCAAATACATGGCATGTGGGTGTTTCAGTGTCCCTCATCCATATTCATCGGTTCTGCTGCAACATCCATGGTTTATCCTCCTAAATTGCTAAACTGACATCTTCAGCTCGCAGTACACCTGCAGCTTGAAATAAAATGCTTGTTACTTTAGAACTTCAGGAAGGAAAAGGCTGCCTAAAGTGAACAGAAATAGAGATTAATGAGGTCCCAAAATGTAAAATGAGCTTTATTTTTTTTTTCCAAAGAAAACGTTTCCTTTTAGGGATATGTAGTCACACACAAAAAAACCTTCAGCAACAATTAGGAATGCATTTTTAATGTTGCTTCAATCTGTATTTTAAGCTACATGCTCATATTCTTTTTTTTTTTTTTTTTGAAGAACGGTAAACACCAGCGATCTAATAAATGAATCCTAAACATTCATATTTTTTTTTACAAATCTTTAGATTACCACAGTTGACAAAGGTCACTTAATATCATAAAACTAAAGTGTCAAACATTGTAACTGTCTGGAAATTCTCATGTTGATCCTGAAGTCCATAATTCTGCACCTCAGTTAGGTATTTGTTGTTCCTTTTCAGATTTATTTGTTTAATCTGGAATGAAATACATCAAACAGTGTAAAAAAAAAATGTAAATGCTTTTCCCAGCCTTTTTGGCAGTGAGCGTTGCATTATGAATATTGAGAGAAGAGGCAATGTCACACTGTGTGAGAGAAATTTCACCGGTGAAGAGGATTTTCCAAATATTTTAAAACAAAGACAGATACTGACATTCTGAAATCACTGTAGCATCTCATATAAGCAATTAGAGAATTTAGCACAGTTAGCATATCCAAGTTGCCAGTTGCCAAGGAGAGATTTCCGCCAATCGCCCACATGTGAACGCCACAACATGCTCGTTCTTTGTCTTTGTTTATTTGCAATGTCCACCGTTAAGTAAAAGCCACAAAAAAATTTTGACCATTTTGTCTTTGTATAAAATCATTGCTCTGTCAGAATTTCCTTTTTTTTTAAATAAAAAAAATCAGTTTCTACATTCTTACTACTTCCCTTTTTAATTGAATTTACTTTTTTTTTTTGTTCACGTTTGAAAGCAGAGTACTGCAGTGTTTTCATGCCCACACACTATCATAACCTGTATCTCTCGCCTTGGCACGTTAATGGTGAATCTGACAAAGTTTTAGCATGCAATTAGTGCCACTTGCTGAGGCCTTGCACTGGCAGTCCATCACAAATGCACACAAAGAGGCTTTCATCCTTTCCTTTTTTTTTTCTTTTTTTTTACACTTTACTGATTCATTCAGTTCATTCACTTACTTCAATTAAGGCTCATTAGAGTAAAAAATAGATTGCTGGCACAGTGAACAAAGTCGGCAAAGCAAAGCAGTGTTTATCCAGCCTGCCTCATGTTAACATTTCTCAATCATTGATTGTTTGTTTTTATCTTTTGCTTAACGGGTTAATAATAAATATCTGCTCAGGTTTGCTTAGTAGATTCAGTTTTGTCATAAATGATCATAAAATGGGACAGGGTCATCTGCACTCACAGATGAACCCTGTCCCACATGCATATCCTTGTCTACTGTGACCTACCTCGGTGAGATGGGGGTTGGGGTTGAATCCGCACTGGTTGCACACGGTGGCCTTGCATTGGGTGCAGGTGTTGTAGTTGGGCACCGCCGGTGGATTGCACAGCTCTGTGGTGGTGCACACTGGGCACAGTTTGCTGCTTGGCATGGGTGCGATCTGCGGCACGGAGTAGGGCGAGGTGGGAGTCACGCCGCGGTCAGGAGACACCGAAGGAGACCGGCCCGTCCGAGAACCACCTGAGCCACTGAAGTCGACTTGGAGGTTTCGCCGGGAGGCATGCTGACCGGGACTTTGGCCACCATGGCCTGCCATGCTGGAGCCAGTTGCAGTGTGACCCACCCCATGGCCGGATCCTGAGACCTGCCCCATGCCCGACCCTTGGCTGGACTGCATGTGTCGAGGGGAGGTTGGGCTGTCATGAGCAGCCAGACGATACGGCTCTCCAGCTCTGGACCCTATTCCTCCACCACTGCCCATTCCCCCCATACCTCCTCCGCCCATTCCTCCCATCCCACTCCCTATTCCTGCTCCCATACCTTCACCCATCCCCCCCATACCTCCTCCTACCATGCCTGCTCCCATTCCTCCCATTCCTCCTCCCATCCCACTCATCCCCCCACCTCCCATTCCTCCACCCATTCCTCCTCCCATCCCTCCTCCGCCATGTCCACCTTGTTGCATTCCTGGCTTTGGACTACCCATTGGGCCCGTTGGACCTCTGAAAGAGACAAAGCAAAAGAGAATTCATGCTCAAAAGATAGCCTTGATATCTGGGTCAATTCTCTGAAGTCACATCTAATTATGTTGCAGCGCCTTTCAAAAGTATTTACACCCTTATGTTTTCTTACACCTGACACTTTATATCTACAAATCTCAAAAGTATTTAGTAGTTATCTGGTAATGAAAAAAGAATATATTTTCCCCAGCAATAACAAGATTTAAAGCAGAGGTCTCATTCTCGCAGCCCGCAGGACGATGTCTCGTGTCCCCCACCGTGATATGAAAGTATAATATTAGTGCGGCCCACAGGATGAGCGGACCTCTGAATGAAGTCCCGCACGCCGTTCTTCGTCATGGCTGACATTCGCTGCTAGGCTAAGCTACACTGACTTCATGCACACTACAGATGATGGAACAGTCCGGTACCAGTTGCCCTTCCCTGCAGTCACCATTTCGGTACTTTCTACCATTAACAAATGCCACGATCAAACACAGAGAAAGGCGACTGCTACCGGGCTGTTCGTCATCCGCCGTGCTGTTGTGACAAGTAGAAACAGTAACGACGTCACGCGTCGAGACGTTCTCCATACATTGCTAGCTGGCTAAAGACTTCTATAAAGCGTAGAACAAGAGCAACGCCAAGTGGAATAAACTAAGGGTGCGTTCACACTGCAGAATAAAGTGACCCAATTCCGATTTTTTTAATTTTTATTTTTTGACGTAATGCGACCTGTATCTGATCTTTTCATGACAGTCTGAACAGCACAGATCGGATTCTTTTCGAATGCGACCCATATCTGACACGTATCCAATTCAAATGCGACCTAATGTCCAGGTCGCATTCATCCGAACTGAACGTCACTGATACTCAACAAATGCTGCGTCCTGATACACGCAAGTGGGAAGAAAAACAACTATGACGGACTATACTGAGGATTAAGTTGTTAATATGCTGCTCCGGTTGGACAGCAACTTCAAATATGTAAGCTAAGCTCCACTGTTAGCCTCCATGTTTACTTCCGCAAACACTGAGCACTTCTTCTTTTTATGTCGGTTGGCAGAACACTGAGAACGCTGACGCTATTGCGCCCTCTACTGTGCTTGCGGGACACTTCCAGGTCATTTGCCCGTTCAGACTGCAGAACGCATGCAGGTTGCATATGTGTGGCAGTGTGAACGGCCCGGCAAATAAAATCCAATTTGACAAAAAAAATCAGAATTGGGTCACTTCAGGCTGCAGTGTGAACGCACCCTAAATTGTCACACCCTCATCATGTCTTTGTCAAAGCCAAAGCCTGCAGTTCATCTATTGGAGAAATAATTAAATGTTGATGACATTTGAGGATATTTTTTTTAATCTTTTTTGTGGAATCATTTATGCGGCCCAGCCTCACCCAGACTCTGCCTCCAGCAGCCCCCGGGTAAATTGAGTTTGAGACCCCTGATTTAAAACATCGACCAATATTGCAACTCTGTCCCTGTAAAATGTTCGGGGTTTGTTTTTCCCATTTCTGACTCTACAATCTTTATTTCCTAACTCTTTACTTTCTTTTCTCTTGGCACTAATACTGGCCTTGTTCAACTGCTTTTCATTTCTTTGGCGTAATCTTTTTCTCTCCTGACATTTTCATTTCCACTCCTAAAAGAAGAGTGAACATTTACTGACCCTTTTTTCCCACAACACTTCTTTCAGGAAAAAGTCACGCTTACAAGGACTAACGTACATTTATAAGAACACGAGGCAATGAATATGTATTTGTAGATCTGGATTATTAATCATTTAAATGTAAAAATTTACCTTTTATTTTTAATTTTTAGTTGTGTTAAAAACATTTACCTGACTGATGTTTTAAAGTATTTCAAAGTTCAAACTGCTGGTTAAACTAATCTATTAAAGAAACAGTAAAACAGTCAAATGAAACAAAAAAACAAAACTGTTTTCTTGTTTGACACAAAACTGCTTCCATAGGAAACTGGTTTAACTGGGATTTTCCAGGTCTTTCTCCTCCAAGATGGATAAGTTCCTTATTCCACTGCTGTACTTGCAGCAGAACAAGTCTATTTAGGTTATTGGTGTGCCCAAACCAAACATCTATTTTCTCCTCCTCTCCCGTTCCTCCTCTGCCTGCATTTCTTCCCACTCAGGGCTGTTGACAGAATTGCTTTTGTACGGCCCATTTATTTCCATCTGCCTCTTCCCCTCCCTCCTTTCTCTCCTCCTCACCTCCCATTATTTTCCTGTCCTTTTCTCCTCTTCTCTCCCGTCACACCAGCATGAATATTCACCCTGTGTCTAAGTTGCACGCACATACAGTAAAAAATTGTTTAGCTCACCCAAAAGGAAAATTATATTTCTACTTCATGAAGAGAAAAAAAATAAAAGAACTGCTTCTCAGAAATCTTGTGAGGCCCATAAAGACTTTGGAGGGCTGATGTGTTTTCCGGACAGGAGAAAGTAACTTTGGCTGCATGTTGCAGTATTTTTTTTATTTTTTTAAACATAAAGATAACCCGAGTAAACACAAAATCTAGTTTTGAAAAGATTAGTTCGTTTAAGAAAAAAAATGATCCAAACCAAAATCTGAATGAGTCAAAATCTGAATGTCTATGAGTCAAAATCTGAATGTCTTCCTTGTCATCAATTAACTGCGATTAACATTTTTTTGGACTATCAACACCCTGATTATTATTAAAATAGAGCATGTCTGGATGCAGGACGAAAGCTAAAATATCTCATATGGTTCAGCCTAAAGAAATTTTTAAAAAGATAAGAAACAACAATATTCAAGTCTGGAAGGGCCTCCATAATCATTTCTAAGTTTTTCGGCCACTAGCAAACCACACTGGGAAATATAATAATAGTCAATTTTATTTATAAAGCCTTTTTTTTATCTCCTATTGAAATCTCAAAGGGTTCATTCACATGATTGTAGCTACAGCTAAAAGCAGTTGTAAATCCAGATGTTGCAGCCATTGGTGGCACAGCAGTCATTAGCTTTGCATAACAAAAATAAATAAATAAAAGAAGTGCATGAAGAGGGAAGGGCCTTTCCAGTGTAAAAAGTAGCTTAGATAGTAGATATATTTTCTTTTATCCACTTTCACTAAACAAATGTTAACTGTTAGCTGTAAAACCTAACGATTTCTCTCCCCTCGACTTCAGAAGCTTACAGGAAGCTCTTACCTCACTGAAAGTCCCGGTACCACGCACCCTGTTGTTTTTCTTAACTTTGTTTCTGATTCACATCCCTGGTGACCCACAGTCCTCATTCTCAGATCTCTTTACATCAACAACTTTGCAATCTTGTAGGAAAATATTAGTGAAGTCCACAAGCAAGGGCCATTTCTGTCTGTTCCTCGACCAAACAACTGATGGACTTGGCAGTCGATGCTCTTTTCTCCTCCGTACTACTCTGTCAGATGATTCACAACAAAGGCGCAACCTGCTAATTGCAGTTACTATGGGCGCTATGTCTGCTGGGTATTCACGCAGAAGGGAAGACAGAGACTGGATGAACACATATTTATGAGTACGTACATGTTGACTAAGTGTATTGCACGTAATATAGAAGATAATTTTTGTATGTCAATGGCAATAGACTTCTCAAGTGGCAGCGTTAAACTGATACTCCAGTCATTTTGGTCTCTAATTCACCTGCATCATCAACAGTTTATGGTTAACAAAGAAAGAAAAAAAAAATGACATGTTGGTGTAACACAGAACGTAACACTACTGCAAGGTGCTTCAAAATTCTGACAGCCATATTTTTAGACACTGTTCTGTTTATATACAGTTTCTTCGAGTCCTCTGAGTAATATTGCTATTACTTCAGCCCCAAAAAGAACCTAGCCTAGTCACTCAAAATCTTTAAATTTTCTTTGCTGTCATAATGTCTGGAACTGTGTCAGTGGCACTGTCAGCAAGAAGTCCAGCCGATTCCTAACCCCTAAAAATATATATTATAATTTATTTGCAATTTTTGAAGTCATACAAATCCTAAAGCAAGAAGCTTGATGACCTCAATGCTATAATTAGCTACATTAGGCACATGTGGAATAAAACAAATATTTACTTTATAACTCTGTAGCTTATTTTATTGGTGCCAAAATATGTTTTTGAACAGACAATGTGGGGTTTTTTTTATCATTTATGTCCTGGAGAGTCTCTCTTTGGCTCACTTTAGCAGACAGACAAGCATATCTGCCAGTTTGAAGACATCATCCTCATCTACACTGCATTGCTGCTTAACACTGCAAAACCAAAAATTATAGATATTTTAAAATAATTGTTCCTTTGTCTATTCTAATAGCAGAAGACACTAGTAAGCTAGAAATCCTCTACTCAACATACCTCATATTCAGACAATGGACCTTACCAAGCTCCGCCCAGAAACGCCCTCGAAAATACCACGTGGCTGCAAGTCTCACAAACAAAGCCTAGCAAAGCTTAGTTTCTATGTAAACATGGCGTATTTCACTTAGACTGACTCTCTGCAGAGTATTTCTGACTCGATTAGTGTAGCATTTCTGCCGGATTTTCACAAAATATCTGCCACGACAATGGACAGGGGGAACCAACAAGTTCATGACATCAAGGTGTTTGAGCCACGTGATGCCTCCAACATTGTGTGCGTCACAGCTAAATGCTACCGGTCGATGAGGAAAACAGCAGATCCTCACACCCTCAGCATAAATATAGCTGTGGACAAGATCACTGATGCCTATTGTTCTTGCAAGGCTGGGTAAGTCGGGCATTCATGGTTTTGAGGGTTACTTTCGAAATCAGTGATTTCTGTTGTTGGCAAATGTTTGAGTGTGTCTAGGCCTGACACACTGTACTCGGTGCTAGCGTGGCTAACATGATTACAATTTAGTAAAAAGCCTTTTCAGGTAAAATAAAATCTTTAATGCATGTCAGATACGGTACACATTGCATATTGATCTGTTCAGCTAATGTAAGACTGTGTAACAGACAGGCTTCAAGGTGTAGAAGTTGTATCGGTACTGCCATTA